ACAGCCTGGTTCATGACTCATCTGCTTGCTTGAATCCAACCCTTGAAAGTTAGACTGATGCGACCTAGACCGGGGTGAGAGCTGGAGTAGCTTCTTGCTGAAAATGGACGATGTAAACGCTATCGTGACATACTTTTGAGTCGAATCAATCGACAACGACAGAAGGTCAGGTTAATACTTGAGTCCGTAGTCAAATGGGTTCAGGGCATTTTCCAATGAATTGGTAGAAGCAGGAATCAATGCTCAAGCCTGATTCTGAACAGTTGTGAAATAATACTTTATGGATACTTTAGGCATGCTAAAGCGTCACGTCATAAGGCATATAAAGTGAAATATCCCCTGAAGAATGTGGGCAAAATTTTCCAACTTGTTACCTGATAAACCACGTCAAGTTGAGCCTGATATTCGAGAAGAGCTGTGTTAAGTCCCGACCAGCGCTGCTGGAGGTGGTACAAATGGCGCTGAATGCGTCGATGAATACGCTTGGTTCTTTCGTCGACTGCTACTCCAGAGACATCGGCATTTACTAATGAGGTGTCTACAAGCTCGGAGCTATCTGATTCGCCTGGAAATAAAGAAAAATAAAGTATAGCACATGAGGATGATTGGAAGAAAATATCGAAACATCAGCCAATTAAGTTTCAATTTATGGGGTGTATTCACCAAATTTCGTTTAAGGTGATGAAGGACTGGTACTTGAATTTTACCAAGATGGTATGAGTAAAGCTGACGTTTTCCAAAAGTTGTTCTCATCCAGGGTGGACTGCATTTTCGACCTCGCATAGGTTTTATCAACACCTCTAGCGGCAGTCGAACCGTGACAGTGCAGCATGTGAGCTTGACACGCTAACCACTCGGCCAGATTGCCACTAGTGCCCTTGGGTCACAGAGCAGACCCAGGCGAGGTCAAAACTGCAGTCAACCCTGAATGAGAACAACTTTTGGTGAAGCAAGGCTCTGTGAAATTCAATGGAAAAGTCAGCTCTACACATATCATTGTGGGAAAATTCTGCTATCAGTCCTTCATCATCTTAAACGAAATAGGTTGAATACATTTCATATAACTGATTCACTAGTAGTCTCGAAGCTCTGTTTATATACGAAAAATGTATTTGGATCACTGGTGAATTGGAATTTGATCCAGGGTTCACCTACAGGACCAATATTCGTGGTCCCCCCTAAAAATAACAATGCAAATGGGTGATGATAGTGATGATAGCTTACTTTTATAAAATAATTTTATTATAACTATTTGTGGGAACATAACATAAATATTTCGGAATTCACTCCGGCCTACTTTTCTAAAAACTGCCTGTATAAGGGGATTATATACTTTGGTATGATAAGTAGCGGATTAAACTGAAGAGCAGTGAGGGATCAAAGGTAAAATAAATGCGCGATTCTGCATGAAAATATGCATAAGGTAACGGAGAATGACAAAAGGCCCAAATACTATGTAATGAAGCTCAATGTCACTGTTCCGGGAAGCTTGCCTCATCTCTACCATGATTATGTGTTAAGACCTCGTCAGGAGGACGTTCAGTACGTGTGTCTGTTTGTTAGGACTGCGGGAAAATAGTGACCTTACTTTCGTTTCGAGTAAAAGTGTTTAGTGAAAAGATATTAAGGTTGAATCCAGCAGAAGACGACGGTGGATTCCTCTTAAGCTGCTGTCGAATGGCTTTACTGGAAACTTAATGTTAACGCTATTTCCGAGGTAATCTCCTTCGATTTCGGTGAAAAGGTACTAAGCTTTCGTCCATCATATGACAAACATGATCAGTGAAAGGTACCATCACTACAATAAGTCAAGAAAACTCCTCGGCAAATCCTTAAAAAGCTATATATATATACTATATTTTTGGCCTCTCTGATGATGAATAAAGTGAGTTGGGGGCTCGGTCAGGGGTTCAAATATCTCGAGCATCTGCCCACCATCAGCAATATGCCCCTCGCTGACGTTTGTATACAGCAAGATGATATTTTTCCACTGGCGGCTATACAACAGCCTAAATCCCGAAGACATCTCCTCCCAAATACTCGTCTGGGCCACGGTTCGGGGGATCTGTTTGTGCTGTCAAACACCCGCTGGTACCTGTGTGCGCACATACAAATACCCGCGTAAACCTGTTGGTACAGATATAAAATGACGCACCTTCAGATTCAAACTGAGCTGGTCCTGTACGCCCTGTGTGTTGTTGAAGGTACGCCTGACCCTGCTCGATGGCTTCTTCTACTTGGATTCGTGACAGATTTAAGTCATATACGAATCTCTGTGATGAGAAAAAAAGAAAAAAAGAAAGTAAACGTTGATGAAACAAAAATGTCCATAAATAATCCGAGTCCTATGAGCTGGGCTCCTTAACACATAAAAAACACTAGGGTCAAGGAGAATGGAGAAAAGACTGTCAGAGTAACATAAAAGAAACACATTTTTGTCTTTAGTTCATTGTTGCTAGTTTGGTCCTGGATACTTACACATCGACAACATTTTCCAAAAGATGCATGCAGCCTCTAGTCTGACTCCCAAAAAGGATATAAAAGCGATTGTAACTGACCAGATTATCCTAAAATCAGTCAAGTTCGTGAATATGGGCAAACCCCATCTTTTAATCCAGGCTGATGGCCTAACATGTGCGCACCAAATTTGCATATGCTGCCCCCGGTTTCTATGAGCAAGAATGACTTGGGTGTCAATTAACTGGTTTCCTGGGGCGCTTAACGTGCTTCGAATGAATAAAGTTGGTTTGATCTTGTCCTCACAGATTGGCCGAGATGACGGAAAGGCCTTGCAGAACGTGTCCACTCCTCCATCGTCTGCAAGATTGGTCATGGTAATATCCAGCCTCGAACCGATGATGTAGTTACCATAGCCATCATAGTTATGAATGAATGCATAAATTTTTTTGCCAAAATTGACGAAATTAGATGAGGAAATCTGACAACTGATTTTTTGAAATTCTATCTGGAGTGCCCATTAAATAAATGGAATTAAGAGGCTTCAAAAATAATATATAAATATTCACACTTGGGATAAATGCATCCTGCATACAGTCGCTAGTCACTGTAATTGCTAGCCTATTATCGGGAAGATAATTGCTGCACACCTTTAGAAAAATTACAAACGTCATCCCATTTAAGCGGCTTAATTATCCAATTATCAAGACATAAAGCTAAATAAAAAAGCATCATAACCCGCTTCCCTGGCCCCATTCACTCGCCACAACTATAGACTTGCAAATTTACTAATCTTGGAGCCTTAATGCTATAAGGATTCGATTAAACTGTTGGCAAATGGAAAAATAAGACATTAACGAAAATGATTAGAGGAAAGGAAGTCCAATAGTGCAATAACCGATGTAAGCGTAGATGATATTTTAACTCTCGATTAATTATTTTTCTAGCTAAAACTGCCTGCATGCACAAGTGGGGGAACAAAGTAAGTGTCGTGGAGCACGAAGATGTCGCCTGACGAAGCAATTGCGCCTATTTAATTAATTTCCTAATAAGAACTTTGTCACATAAAGTGATGTCAGGGTTGAAAGTTGAGTTGTTCCCACAATTTTATGGTACTAGTGCTACACAGTGCTATTGAGGCTCACCAAGCCCAAACAGTCTATCTGACGCAAACTGGACTGCAGTTTCGACCTCGCACCCCCAAACGGGATTCGAGCCATGGCCAAGTTCGTAAAGTGGGAACACATTGACATGGGTTCCAGTGCGTCACAAAGCAGATGCGACTTTTGAGGTTAGCCGAGCCTTTCCCAAATCGATTCGACGAATGTTTATCTTCGAGGAAAAGTTAGGGCTTCGAGGAATCCCTTGTTTTCTAATTCCTAAGCTTGCTTCCATTTTAGGCGAAAGTATTTGGTAAGGAATTTCATTTTGCTGAATATAATGTTGCGGCCAAATTTAAAATTAGAGGCCATCGAAATCTAACTAAAAGGCAATAGATTGAATGTAAGGAATACCAATAGGAAGGTAAGTACAAATAACGTATGCTTAAGTAATGAAGTCAAGGAGAGAGAGGATGTTGAGTCACTTACGAAAAAGTGTCGACACATCTAGTTTTGTTTAGCTTACTTCCATTTCGAGTGAAAGCGTTTGGTGAAGAGATGCGAAGATCGATTCCAGCAGAAGATGACTGCGGATTAGTCACGGTCATGTGTCAACCTCGAAACCAGCAATGATGACTAAAAGTAATGAGAACAGCAAAAGTAACGTCTGTTCTTGGTCATCAAGGTTCTGATAATTACTATTCCCTCCTTTCTACGTATATGTTATAACCATGATTCCGATTGCGCAAGGTCGGAGCTGATAAACCTTTTTGATTTGGGTCTTCATGCGAGAGAGAAAGAGTGAGCGAACACAAACAGGCATCGAGGTTGACCTATGATCGTAACTAACCAAATCACTTGATACTTCATCAAAGATGCCAGATATGGAGTATATATAGAGCTTTTTAGGAATTTGCCGGTCAGTTTTCTTGACTCGTTAGCTTGTATTTTGTTGTAACGACGATACCTTGTTCTAATGATGTTCGTCATATGACGGACGAAAGTTTAACACCTTTTCACCGGAATCGAAGAGAATTACCTCGGAAACAGCGTCGACATGAATTTTCCAGTAAAGCCAATCGACAGCCGGTCAAAAGGAATCCGCCGCCATCTTCTGTTGAAATCGATCTTGGAATCTCTTCAAATACTTTCACTCGAAATGGAAGTAAGCTCAACACCTATGAATAAAGAGATTCCTCGAAATCCAACTTTTTTTCGCACATTAAGTTTTTACTTTTCTTGACCTGGCTATAATCATGGTCACTCCTCTGTACTTCTTAGCCCACTCTCTCACATAAGGACATAAAGCTCATCAACATAACCAGACGTGTGTCCGACCTTGCACAATCGGAGTGAGGGTTAAATGATAAATAGAGAGGGGGTGAAGGTGGCCAGCAAACCTTGATGATAGAGCACAGACGTTACTTTTGCTGTTCTAATTGCTTTTAGCCATCACTGCTTGTTTTTTACATATGCGAACACATGTAGGCACATACCCACACGCACAGACACACTTACATGCTTCGAGGTTTATATTGGCTTGAATTAACCAAATCAATTGATACCTCATTATAAAGCTCAGATATAGAGCATGTATCCAGCATTTAGGAACTATCCGGTGAGTTTTCTCGACTCGTTAGCTTGAATATAGTTGTAATGATGATATCCTGTTGTGATGATGTTCGTAATAAGATGAACGAAAGCTTAGCATGTTTTCACGGGAATCAAAGAAAATTGCCTCAGAAACAGCGTCAGCAAAAATGTACTATTAGAGCCAGTCGACAGCTGATCAAGATGAATATTCCGTCATCTTCTGGTGGCATCGGTTTTCAAATCTCTTCACCAAACGCTTTCACTCCACTAAGACACTTATCTTCGGTGAGAATATTTTTCAGGCCATCATGAAAACTGGATTAATAATTATAATTTTATCAACTTTTATCATTTCCTTTTCTCCCATATAATCACCAGATCCGTGGGGGAGGGGAAACCTTCAGGCAAGAGCCAAATGGTGCGTTTAAGTCCAAGTTCCTGTTGTTCAGCGAATAGAAGTATCCGAATCGAAAGTACGTTGCCAAGCCATAGCATTAGTTTGGCCTGTATGCAAAATCTAGAGTAAAAGTGGCCAAACGTAGCAAGCATTCACAAAAGCTGGGGTGAAAGAGGCTTATTTCGCCTACCATGCAACTAAACGGGGCTAGAGTTAGAATCTCTCTCCGGTTTGCATTTCACATTAGTAACATGCTTCACTCCCCAAATGTAACCCTCTGGTAAAAAATTGACACAACTCGAGGATTCCTTCAATGCATGTAAAATAAACAAGATTGTACAATTTGGCTCGGCGTTAACAGGGCTGAATGCATATTTTATAGATTTGAACATGTAATATGGTGCTAAGCGAAAGCGCTTCTGCCATCCGGCCCCAGCAACACACAAAGTCACCATACCAACTAAAGTGTCTATAATTGGGTCTAATACGAGAGCACTTGTAAAAGTGGTGAGAAAATGCATCTAAGTGGAGCAAAGCCTGGGTACAGCCTCGACTACGGGAGTACATATGTTTGAAAAAGAACAAAAACAAAAAGATAATGAAGCAAAATAAATGTTAATCGAGATCATCTTTAGAGCCATGGTTCTGAAACTCTGGCCTGGTGTGTCAGGCAACCTCCGAACAGGCAGAGAGCTGCTCGTAATCGCTTGTAGGCCCCATGGCAACTCAACAAGATCCAAACGTTGACGACTCACTAAATGCTCATCCCTTTGCCTGGCTACCACGGTTCGGTCACCTCCGATCGGCTCTCGCTGCTGTCTGAAGGCAACGTCCTGACGTGCCAGCCAGGCGTTGATGTCGCGCAGTCGAGCCAAAAAGACCGCCCGGTTTTCCGTTTGGTTCTGAAGAGCCGATCTGACAGCGGGTAGCGGAGGATATGCAGAGAAGTGAGCAACATTTGCGCAAAGGTGTCAGATACGTTTAGAACGCGGGTATGCGAGGTGAAGCGGTGAACAAAGAGCATAAAGCAGCGGAGAAATAAAGAGATAAAATGGCGGAAAAAGAAAATGTGATTGGAATAATTGTGATAAAGGTCACGAATCATAGAGCGAACTCCATCAAATAGGCATAGTGAAGGGGAAGAAAAATCAACAAGAGATGAAAGTTAAAGTTTAGGTATGACTGAGGAAAAGTATTTAAATATGAAAATTATAATCAATTAATAAAAACTGGGTTTCAGAGCCCCTTTATGAATTTGTTTTAATAGTAAAAGCTGGTTGGAAACCTTAGATTGGGCCAAGAAATCCTCAGTCCACCGTCCAGCGATTCGAATCCACTTCTAATGAACTTTCTTTTGTCCTTTCGTGACAGGCATAGTCAAGGCGAGAAGTCGTCAGTTACGAAAAAAGC